TCTTTCAGCAAAAAATTTTTGCCAATTGGTGTATATTTTAAATCCTTTTGGTTCAGTTAATCTTTTTTCTTCTTTTTATGTCTGTTTTCAATAAAAATGAAACTTTGACACCCCCCCCTCCTTTCAACAGACATGACTCTGTTGGCCTTTCTGGGACTTCTAGGACCTCCTGAGAGTTTTCATATTTCATTTCATAGTTTCATATACCAATAGCCAAGAGGTTTTTCAAGAGAAACTAAGCGAAAAGATAATGTTTTCAGTAAATGATGTTAGCACAACTGGAAAAGGTAAGCCTCTATATTTTTTCATACCTGTTCAAATTTTATGTTAGAGTGGATCATAGAATCAAAAATAACAAATCAAACTAAAATTCATCAGAAGAAAATGAAGGAGAGGATTCTTGCAATCTTGGGTAGGCAAAGAGTGTGTGTGTGTGTGTGTGTGTGTGTATGTGTGTGTGTATGTGTGTATAATGAAAATTCAGTAAAATTGACTTCATTTAAATTAGAAGTGTCTTGTGTTTGGAATACTGCATCAGCAAATGTAGAAATGGGGTCAGGGAGACTAGACTTGTAGGTTTTTGGCTGAGATTGATAGATCATCTTGCTGTGGCCCCAAATAAATGTTCACCCACCAGCAGTGTTGTGTAATTTTGTGGAGCCTCTGATGCCCCTGCATCAGAACAGCAACCAGCTTGAGGAAAAGTATGGCCTGTGGCCCCTGCTGGCTGGCATGACCAGTTCCTGGGTACACTGCCCATCAATAGCAACAGCAGCAACAATGGCAAGAGGAAGATGTGGGCTGACACGAGAACCCTCCTTATCCAGTATCCAGAATGGAGACATGTCCAGCGTGAGCCAGGACAGGCAAGCTCAAGGGCTGTTCTCAGCATAACAGCTCTTCTCCACAGGAGGGTGGACAGATCATGTATGATGTTGAGAGCAGGGCCCTTGGCTCTCAGTCAGAACTTAAAAGAGAGAAAGAAGTTGAGGTGTAGTGAAGTGCAGACTGGGCCATCCAGTGGTCCCATCAGGCCTGAAAATGTTCAGCTCAAAAAGCTCATTTGTGGTTTAGATTTGCTCTGTCTCTAAGCATGAAGAAAATGGGGTCAGGGTAAGGGCCATCCTGTCTGCAGGGCTATCTGCAGGGTTTCTTTCTGAAAGTGCTTTCCACCTCTTCCTTTTGCACATCTGGCTTTGACCCTGGCTTCCGTGTTAGAAAAGGACTGAGTGAACCTTCTGCCAATGCATTCCAATGGAAGGAAAAGTTCTTAGCAGTGTGTGTGGCCTGTGGGTGGTGTTACAGTTGTGTGCTTGGGCACTGAGGTGCTCCAGCCTTATCTTTATCTGTTTCCAGCAACTTCCAAAGTCTGTGTTTTTTTGTCAAGCACTATTGAGGCGTTTAACTAACCCTATTCCCTTTCTGGCCCATGAGTCACTTTAGAATAATCTAACAGCATTTTCTCTTTCACCAGTGGTTATCATTTGTCAACATTTCTGCTAAGAACCACCAGAATTATACCCATGCCATTTAGACTCTGGCAGTTTAACTGCCATATTGCTCTAAAACGTTAGACTAGCAAATGGCATCGTGAAAGCTTTGTTCTTTAGTTTATGTTTTCTAAGACAAAGACATTTCTTTAGTTTGAATTAATAGTTATTGAAAGGTAAACAAAAAGTAAAAATATAAAACACAAGAAAAATATTCTGGGCAATAAAAACACATTAAAAAGGAATACACCATTAAAATGCAAAGAGACTGGAATAACATATGCTTATTATATATCTTAGAAAATTAACTTGTTGGAGCCCATTCCCTATGAGGGGATGCCATGCTCAGCCTTAATGTAGGGGAAGGGGCTTGGTCCTGCCCCAACTTAATGTGTCAGACTTTGTAGACTCCCCATGGGAGCCCTTACCTGTTAGGAGGAGTGGGTAGGAGGTGAGCTGGATTGGAGGCAGGGGGTTGGGAGGGAGAACTTTGGTTGGAATGTAAAATGAAAAAAAAAAAACCCAACAATAAAAAAGAAAATACTTGAAGCCAGATGTTATGGTTAATTTTGAACACGAAATTGGTGGGATTTAGAATCTCCGTTGGAGGGGCCGGGAGATGGCTCAGCCACTAAGAGCACTGCCTGGTCTTCCAGAGGACCCCAGTTTGATTTCAGGTACCCACAAATGGCTGATCTGATGTCCTCTTCTGACCTCCGTTGGTACCAGGCACACATGTGGTGTACAGACATATATGTAGGCAAAGCACCAGTACACATGAAATAGAATAGAGAGGAGTTACCATGAAAATAACTCCCTGTCTCTGAGCAAGTATTTGGTTTAGGCTAACTGAGCTGGGAAGACCCCTTTTAACCATGAGCAGTGTCTTTCTAGCCCCAGACTGAACATGAAGGGAGAAAGAGGAGTGAACATAGGTGTTCATCGCTCTCTGCTTCCCTACTGGACACACAGCATGACCAGCTGTCCAAGCTCCTGCTGCTTTGACCCCTCCCCTCAGGAACATTACCCTTGAACTGTGGACCAGAAGTTCTTCCTTAAGTTGTTCCTTTTCGAGTATTTTGCCACAGCACCATGTAATGCAACTAACACATTGGAATATATTCAGAACTCTTAAGCAATGAGATAATTAATACAATAAAAAGACATGAATTTTTAATAGAAATTTTATAAGAGAGAGAGCACACAATAAGAGGATGCACATCATTTGTCATTCAGAATACGTGGATTAAAACTGTAGTGAAGTACTAGTACATAAGTACGAGGAAGCCTAAGATTAGTTGAATTGATTGATCATGCCACGTCTTGGTGATGATGTGCAGCTATTTTAAGATTTTAAGCAACATTTCTGTATGTGTGTGGTTATGCGTATGTGTTTGATCATGTACATGTCATGGTATGTTTGTGGGATTCAGAAGACAACTTGTGATAGTCAGTTTTCACTGTTTACTGCGTAGGTCCCATAGATCAAACTCAGGTCACTGGACTTGGTGGCAGTCCCCTTTTTCTCCTGCTGAGGCATCGTGCTGGCCTAGAGCTGCTCCTCTTCCCCTGCTCCTCCTCCTCATGATGAAATCATCAAAAGTATTTTCGTGCAGCTTTTGGATGTTGTTGTTATGTTACCACTTGACTATGTAGTAGTGTACCAGAGCCTTCTAGTCATCTCTGACTGCCCCTTAGCACTCACTGGTCAATGCTACCACTTCACTTCATGTACTCTCAGTTATGAGATCAACTCTTTTAGATTCTGTGTGTGATTGACTTCATGAGGCACTTGCCTTTCTTTTCTTAGCTTACGTTACACAAAACGATAATCTCATTTAATAAGACTTGGTGCCTTATGCCTCTAATTCTAGACCTGGGAAGCTGAAGCAGGAGGAATGCCGTAGGTTTGAGATCAGTCTGTCTTTTGTTCTAGAAGTTGCATAATGTCAAGTCTTACACTGAAGTTTTTATCCACTTTTGAGCTGTATTTTGAGAGACTGGTGAGGATTAGAGATCTAGTTTTACTCTCCTATATGTGGATAGTCTTCAGCACTGTTGGGATGGCTGTCCTATGTGTGTCCTTTTGTTGAAAATCAGTTGGCTATAAGGCTTACTTCCAGTGTCTATTCCGTTCCTTTTGTTTGTACTCTATAGCTTTGTATGTGTCTGTTTCTACTGGTGTCAGTAGGGACCACCAGTGGGCATTGGATCCCCTGAAGCTGGAATTGTGAGCTGCCTGACATGAGTGTTCTTAATCGCCGAGCCATCTCTCCACCCCATGTATAGTATTGGATGTCAGGTGGTGTAATGTCTCCAGTTGTGTGCCATTAAACACAGCTGTGTTGAATCAAAAGTGGGGATGTGGGCATATTTTTCTCACTACAGATCTTAGAGAAAGCTTTCTGATTTCCCCATCAGTATAATGCGAACGTTATGTCTCTTTCAAACAAAAGTCCGTTTTTATCTTTCCCTCCCTCCCTCTGTGTGTTTGTGTTAGAATGGGCAGGTGTATTGAGACATGTGTGGTCAGAAGGCAACTTTTGGGTATTGTTCCCCTCCATCTCATTCCTGAGGTATTTTGTCTGCTTGTGTATGCTTTGTCCTCCAGGCTAGCCAGCCTGTGATCTTCTGGGCAGTTCTCTGTATTCCATCTTGCTGTAGGCATGTTTACAGATGTGCAACAGTGTTGGGCTTTTTACAATGATTTCAGGGATCAATCATGTTTGTCTGACCAGCATTTTTACCTGCTGAACCACTTCTCTGGCCCCAGCTACTTATTGCTGTGAATGGTTTTATTGTGTTTAGTTATAGTCCTTCATGCTTTTATTTTTGTTCTTGTTTAAAGATGAATTATAAAAATTAAATGAATTTTTTCATTTTATATACATTGGTGTTTTCTTCTGCATGTATGTCTGCAAGGAGGGTGTCAGATCTTCTGGAACTAGAGCTACAAACAGTTGTGAGCATGTGGACACTGGGAATTGAACCCTGGTCTGGAAGACCATTGGCTAATGCTCCCAACCTCTGAGCCATCTCCCTAGCCCCTTGTTGTGGTCCTTCTATCCCTAATTTGTTCAGGCTTTTTGTCATGAAAAGATGATGAATTTATTAGATACCTCTTTTTGTAGCTATCAAAATGACCGTAGTTATTTATCTGTTAATATGGCATTTTATACATTGTATTCTTGATCATTTTAGGTTTTAGAATTAGGTTTTAGTGCTAGCCAGACTGCTCCTGGTTTAGAGGGAAAGAACTTGTTCTGTCTGTTTACGAGGTTGTAGCTGGGAGGGAAAAAATGGCTGCGTTTGTCCCCCATTTTATCCCTGCTTAATGGTTTGCATTTTCTATGCCAATTTGTGAGTCACAGTGCATGCCTATTGCACACCTTGCCAGGTGTAACTGAATATGTGAAAACATTTTGTCTAATTTTAACTGTAAGACTGTGAGGAAGGAGACACAGTCAAGTGGGCTGTGTACTAAAAGACAAAACTTCTTTTTTGAATCAGGTTTGCTACAGAAAGAGAAAATGGCAATTGAAGCATTTCAGATTTGTTGTCTCCTTCTGCCTCCTGAAAACAGGAGAAAGTTACAGTTGTTGATGAGGATGATGGCAAGGATCTGCTTAAACAAAGAGATGCCACCGCTGTGTGATGGCTTTGGCACCCGCACTCTGGTAGGTTGACTGTTGACATCTACCATGACCTACGTTTTCAATCTGAAATGTACCTGAATCCCTGTTCTGATCTGAGCAGCCAGATGATAGCTGGAGGGAGGCTTGCTTGGAGAGCATGGCCCACTGTCCAACCAGACTTACTGTGCTTTTGGTCTAGGGATCTTGAAGAACATAGTGCCAAGTAAAGAGGGGACAGGCTCTTCCTTTAGAGACAACTGCTATGGCCTTGCTTACCATTTTACAAATGGCTACCTATGGTCAACACGAAGACAATGAAGGTGGGCAGACAGCATAGGAAAACCACATTGTCCTTTTCCAGCACAGGGGTTGTTGAGGAGTCTTGGTTATTGTAATGAGAGAGAGAGAGAGAGAGAG